GGAAAGACACCAAAGAAAGTAAAACAATTGCTTGAAAAGCTGTGTGTTCAGCATATAATAAATATTTCAGGAAGCTAGAGAGATCTTTGAGAACTGATGTAAGCATTAAAGTTTATAAGAATTTCATTGGATATTGAAGAAAGGTGACATAAAAATTATCAGACAAAAGAGTTAATCCAGTACAAACAGACAAGAAAACAAAAACTGTATAAGCGAAGACAGAAAAGATAGATGTCTTATAGATACTCTGAAGGACACATAAGGATGTTAATGACTGATGATATTCTTGTCATTAATAATATCTTTAATTAACAGTATCTTTAACTTGTTGATCTAACAGCAAAATAAATGGAAAATAAGATGAAATTATTATTGTGCAGATTGATTCACATTTATTCCTGGCTTGGGTAGAACAAAAATTATACATTAATAAACAGTAGCATAATTAGAATGGAGGTGGCAAAACATCAGAACTGGCTGCATTGCACTGTAGAACTCAAAAGAGTTTAGATCTATGTGAAAACAGTGATGCTGCTGGGAGGAACAGCTTGTGGTGCAGGGATGGATGCAGCCGGCACTCGCGTCGCACAGCCCCGCCTGCCTTTACCACACCAAATAGGGTGCTAAAGAGTTAAGGAGACCATTTCCCCAGCACACTACCTAACTTTAGACCAGTAGCACTGTTCTTTGGAATAAGAACCATACTGGGAGATTTGTGTCTGACTAGAGGACAACCTCAGAACAGTAAAACCTAAGAGATCGAAAAGATGAAGGATGTTGTTCCCTCCTAGTGCAAATCATTCCTTTCAGCATAGTTCCCAGAATTTTATACAATGTCCCATTCAATGCCACAAATTATAGGATTGGGATTCATTTCTTAAGAAACCACTCTGCAGTCTTACAGATGTCTCCATATGAAAGTAAATCCTGAGAATCAGCCCAGACTCTCTTTCATTTGATAGCTTTTGCCTGAATGTCTGTGGAAGAACTTTTAGGTGTGTTTTCTACCTTGTAAAATTTAAGAACACTCTGAAAAACAAATGCAAAACAGATTGCAGGCTCTCGGGCTTGACCAGAGCAGTATTTTACAGAACAGAAGACTGGAGTTTAGAGCTGACGTATTGTTCCTTGGCTTATGTGTCAGCGAGAATAATGCAGCCCTCGGGCAACACACTGACTCTCTCTAGGGGGATGTTCAGCCTCTATCATTCAATAGCAACTTTGTTTACCAGCAGAGAGAAAGTATTGGCAGGAGCCTAAATAAAAGCATTAATTTCCTTTTTCATCTTCATCTGGCTGCTAATGACGAGGAGATTGGACTTTTTCATAATGTGCAAAATAGAATATACCTCTCTGCACATCTCTTTTGTGATGAATTGATGAGCAACAGCTAATGGCTGCTGGCTGTTGAACTCCAAGAACGATGTTTGTCTGGGAGCATTTGTGTTCCTGTAATTCACTTTTCCTTTATATTTAAAAAAAAGTTCTGGATTCTGAGGAAAAAAAAAAGTCTATTTTCCAGTCAGTTTTAAGAATATTTTCTTATGCTGTGTTCCCTACTTATCCCTGTACACAGGCTTGACCCCACAGATCTATGGAATATGGGTGTCAATAGTACAAACTAATGTTACGGGAACGTGTGTTTAATTTGCATGATGCTAGCTCTTTTTATCTGAAC